CTCTCTCTCTCTCTCTCTCTCTCTCTCTCTCTCTCTCTCTCTCTCTCACACACACACACACACACACACACACACACAAACACACACACACAGATGAAGTGTGCAGGGGGAAGAATAGCACTTCTGGATGTGTTTAACTGTGGTTCCATTTACGTGGCTTTCTGCTTGTTTTTCTGGATTTTGCAAGGAAGAAAAGTGCGCTCAAAATCCACTCAGAACTCCCTGGTTGGGATAATGTCCCAAGTAACGGCATGCTGACCTCCTCGTCAGCCCCCCCGTTTCTGTTTCATAATATTCATGTTATTTATGTATCCATCTGAAGTACGGAGGTTCTGCACAGAAGTTGGGGGGGGGGGCAACTCTTCCCCGGAAATCTGCTTCTGAAAGCTCAGAGCGCACACCTTTCCTCGCTTTAAGCGCTCAGACTGGAGAGGCCAGTTGGGGCACGCCATACCCTCAGGCGAGTCTCTCAGGGAATGGAGATTTACAGTCTAAATATATCAAAATAAAATCACAGGAATTACGGGGCTTTCCCTATCCTGTGAACGGAGCTGAATTATCCTACTGTACTATTTTTAGTTTTAGATATTCAAAATCTTCCGATTTTTCCTCTCGCTGCATTTTGTATGATTAACCTCAAGGCACGAGATAGACACCCAACAACTTTAATGAGATATTATTTAACAGGAGGGCACAATGACTGTATCACTGCTTTATCACCGCTTATGGCGTGAGGGCTACACATTAAGTTTTTCCTTGTATGTACACAACTAGACTAGGTTAAGAGCAAATGCTTGGTATTTTTTCAGTGCCTCTTGAATGTAAATGAATAATTAAAGTCCTTTCATTTAAAAAAGATATAAGCAGACTATTTCCTACAACATGAAGTGGTAAATGCCCGAGACACATAATCTTGGAATCAGAGGTAATGTAAAATTGAATATGATATGTTTTGGGGGCAAACTATTATTTTAAAGAAAGCATCCCCAAAGGCCTTAAAGATAGCATGCTGAATGCTCCACATCTGGTTCCCTTCATATCACCTGTATTTCCTTGTAAATCTTTGATACTTACCTCAAAAGAATATTCAGCAATCCTATCATTCTTCTTGTGTGACAATCCCTTTAATTCCACCTTTTCCACGCTCACTGTTAAAACAAAAAGAAATACAGGTTACATATGGAAGGGCCACAGGCCTATTTTCTTTGTTTCAAAAGCAGGGAGGGCTGCAGGCTTCTGGTTATTCCAACTGGCCCACATCTAAATGGCCAAATCCATCCACGATGCCTGGATGCTTTTTCTTAATTCCACACAGGAATCAAGTACAAGCAACCCAAAGTCATGGAACCAGGTTTACCGCTATGGAAATTCTCAATCATCCAGGTCATGGTTGTCCCAGAGGTATTTTTTCCAAAAGGCAACTTGGTTTTTTCCTTTGAAAACAAAAAAAGCTTCTTGGGTGACAAACAAAATGTTTTCAAAGAAAAAAAATCTAGACAGCGCAGGTACCTTTTGGAAGAAGCCCTTTTGGGGACCGGTTCACCAAGTGTTTGACTTGGAATGGTGAGTTCTAGTTTCAAAAACCAAGATGGCTCCTTATACCACGCAAAACATGACACGATACATCTGTTCATTGTACTGCCAGCCCTCCTTTTCTGCTGTTTTGTGGAAGAAGACCCAACCAGCAGACCAGATTAGCAAGGGGGCCACCTCAAGATCTCACAGGGCCCCAGCCTTGATGATAAAAGTTAGGTCTTGAGGGACTTCAGGAGAATGAGAGACGGAGGGAAATTGTTCCACAAGGCAGGTGGCCAGGGCTCTCTTCCTGGGGCTGCCAACTTAATTCCTTAACAGATGGGACCCCCAGCAGGTCTCTTTTGCCAGAGCTGATAGGCTAAATATTTTTTTAGATAGGCAATGCACACACGTTAGTCAGTGCCTTAAAGGTTTTTAATGTTCATAAAATGTTCATCTTTGAAACAAGAGTTAACGGATTATCTCCAAGAGCAAGAATTTTTAACGTCTGTTGGATAACATGCCAGCAGCTAAAAAGCACACTTAAAAATACCCATGAGTGTATACTGAATAGTAATTTCGCTTGGAAAAGCTAACATCGTTTAAAAGCACTTTTCCTAACTAACATTCCCGTTACGTTCTTTCTCACTTGTCTCAAAACTCTCCCTATGTGGTAAATTAACATATTTTAAACCTTTAAAGTTCCTATTTATTCTATATTTCTGCAGAAAAGTCATATCAACTGAAAAGTCATATGAATTAATGCTTACATTGGTGTCATAATTAAATGTTCTTAATATTATTTTTCATCTTTTAATTCATAGGAGGTAGTTTCCACCTAAACCTTTATCAGAAATTAAACTAATAGGAAAACAGCACATGCCCTCAGTAAGCAAGTGCTGTAAATCAATTGTTATTTAGATAACCACATCACAGACACACAAATGCCAAGAAAGAATGAATAGTTTTAAAAAGAATATAGAAGAATTGTTTGATTGACTGATATCTTAAAATAACTGCTTAATTGAGGAAAAGGGGAGTGTGTCCATATTACATGCTAACTTTGTACTTGCTAGCCCTGAAAGAATCATATGGTTTTATTAGCACTTAGACACAAGGCAATTTTGAGTATTCAATAGCTCAGAATTGTTATTAGCCAAGGTAAACTAGTGAACAGGCAAATAACACTTTCAGAGTTCTCATATACTAGATTATAAAACATAAATAGCTATCTATTATACACCAACATTTATGGATAGACAGCATTATTGACATTTAGGATTATGGGATAGATTATAATAGGAAAATAGGATAGTATTCTCTAATATTTAAAGTTGTTTTATACCTAGTTTGTATATGGATCCCACCATAAAATGTAAGAAACAGAAATTTAGCAGCATGGTAAAATGGCCACAGTAAAGGAGGAATATTTTGTCCAGCTTTGATCTGCCAGAACAAATTTTTAATAAAATATCATAGCAACAGAAATTCTTCACACTTGCCATTTCTTTCTTCTTTTTCTCTGGTCTTATGCCAGGAAGATGCTACATGTGAGACAACTGCCAGAGAGACCTACACAAAGATGGCACCGCCAACATATCCAGTTGCTACCTTTCTGCTACAAATGCAGCCACAGATATGAAGCACACATTAGAAACCCATTAAACTCCACTCATGTGGACAACATATGGAACATTCGGTTCCAATTTACAGCACTAATAGACTTAATTTCCTGTCTGATTCCACAACTTCATTCCTTTTTATTTTCAGACTGTGAATAACTTTTTCATGTACTTCCAAAAGCAGGTTCAAGATGAAAAGATCTTGGGCTTCTTTTATTATATTTGGTTTCCTTTCAATATTTAAAAAAAGTTAAAATCAAAACAAAATATGAATTCAGTGACTAGACAAGTAGCGAAGTCAGCATCTTAAGATAACCACAATACCCATTAAGTATATTGGGAATTATGAGAAAAACATATAACTGCTATTTTAAAAACATGAATAATCTCTGGGACAGGAAACGAATCTCAGATGAACATTATTTTTGCACAAATAGCCGGCCTTCAATTTATTGTGCTCTCAGTTAAATGACATTCTTAAGAATGTTCTCTAGATAACTGTGTTGTATAGACTGTTTTATGTATGTGAACATATAAAAAATCACAAATATTTTTTGACAAAAAACATATTGGCCTAGAACTATGTCTTTCAATCTTCAAGAGAAAAAAATGAGTGTATATTCACATCACTGTAAACTAGGTCTACAATAGGATATATTCTGCAAGTTTACATCTTCTACATCAACTATAAAAACAATAATAGGTAATGTTCTGCACTCTTTTTTAAAATCAATCATTCAATCAAATACTGTTCTTAGGATGGTTTGATCTCAATATACAGTACTTGAATTTCTGTGATAATGATTGACATAACTTATCAAGTTACTTTGAGCTAGCTACGGTATCTTCACCACAATAGAATTCCAATCTATGGGGGTCACACTTAGAGAACATATCAAAGCAGTCATTTACTGTATATATTGGTTTCATGATGAATACATATGGATTCGGAAGGCCCTAGACCAAGGTATTCAACCTTGGCAATTTTAAGACTTGTAGACTTCAACTTCCAGATTTCACCAGCCAATTCTTGAAGTTGAAGTCCACAAGTCCTAAAGTTCCCATGGTTGACATCCCTGCCCTAGACAATATCAATACTGTAGTATAATTACAGACACACACATCCCACACACAGTAACAGAAAGAAAAGAAGCATTACCCCACCCCCAAAAAGCTTGGCAACAGTTGTAATAGCTGTAGGAGCAAGTGACTGGACAACCTTCTGCAGATTAGTTGCACCAACTCTAAGCACTGAGTCACCCATCACAGAATACTGGGCCCCAGTAAACTCCAATGACCGTTTCCTATGAATTTTACAGAGATGATTTTTTTTTAGCCCTCTTCAAAGGAGAGTGGAAGTGGGCAGCTTGCACCTGTACCACTTTTGGGAGCAACTAAACTCCTCTGTCAGCTGAAGCAAAGAAGGAATGAGTTGAATATGCCCTGAGCTAAGTATCTCCCTCCAAAAGGTGCAAGAGTCACCTCACCTTTCCATTGCCCAAGCTTGGTTTGGACCCCTATTATTCCTCACAACGTCACGGGAGTTTGCAGAATAATACCAGCAGTCAAGAGCAACTTCCTCATAATCTAGGGAAGGCTAAGGAGTGCCTACTTAGCATCTTTGTTACCTGTCATAATCTCTTATTTCACTCGGGCATCAAACCTCTGTCTCTGAACAGCTCACAGTTGTAATGCATGCTAACTCTTTATTTTGGCATTACTGCATTGTTACTTTGGTCTGTGACGATCAATGAAGATTGACAGGTAATCCTTGAAGAAGATGCGGGAGATCACACGACAGGCCGGCACAATATTACGCAGAAACAAGGACAGTGCCTCGAGTGATAATCTTTTCAACATTCAGAGACAAATGGTGTAGGTGCCGCAATATTAGAACCGTGAAAAGACAGGGATTTCATGCATTTCAAATGAACATGGATTTCCTTAGGAAGGATTTCAACTCCTAAATCAGCTCTGCTAAGAATTTAACCTACTGTTGAAAACTCCCCCCCCCCCCCCCCCGGAATATTCTTCCTCTTTTAGCCAATTCTACACTGTACACATTAATTCCAATCTTAACAACAACAACCCCCGAAACCACCAATTATATGCATTAGGGGATGGGAGGCAGAATTTATACTCAAAAGAGCTTTGATAAGTAGAACTAAACAACCAATATTTCTTAGAGGTCAGTTACAACGAAGTCCATATTGCTGTTTGTAGGCAAGCAATGGCCTGAAATAATCAGCCACCACTTCTTTCAGACAAAAACCTTGGCTGCTTCCATGTCTCAAGGCAATTCACGTCCCCCATCAAGCTTTGATGCTCTACTTTAAGAAAGCTACTGGATTCTACTGGTAGCACCTTCTCCATTCACCTGAAAAAGCAGTCATGGCCAATGAGCACAGTAGCTTGATCCTTCCACAGATTATGCGTATTTTGTGGAACTCACCCGCATCAAAATATAACATAACCATTGCTAATAAACAGCTTGCAAGAATTATTTAATTGGTAGCCTTATCCAATCACATCCTGAAAATCAACAGTCAGAGGGCTTTTTGCAAGCAGCCTTTGTGACCATACCACTTTTCTTTCAGCTAGGTATCAAAATAATGTAATTTCATCAGCACTGTCCCTTCAGCTTATTGTTAAAAATAGCACAAGCATGATACACTAATGAAATGGATACGCTCAATGCAATGAGGTAATGCAATAAATCAATGGTCTTTCCTAAGCGGCTGTAGAGAAAAACAGCTGTTTTTTTCCTTGCTTTTCTTTTTTCTTGAGAAAAAAAACAAAACACTGTTTCAGGATACAGTTGCAAAATCAAAACTATTTTCCAGTTGGGAGCTATAGGATTACAGCTGCTAGTTAATTCCAATTCAGCTAAACAAATCTCTTTACTGCCTTCTTCAACTAATGACACACTGTGATAACTTTCACTCCAAAAGGCCTGCCCTGAGGAGAGAAGCTGCTGGAATATGTTGATAGCTTAATCTAAAAGATATTAACTGTCAATGTTACAGCGTGTTTCCTACTGTATAGTCAGCTACAGTGATAATGAATGCCAATCTTATTAAAAATGGAAATGACAACACTCATGTTCACAATTTAAAAGTGCAATCATGTGATCACCTTTTATGACCTTCCAACAAGCAAAACCAATCGGAAAGCCAGATTCCCTTAACAACCGTGTTACTAACTTAACTGCAGTGATTCAACTGATTAACAACTGAGACAAGAAATATCATAAAATGGGACAAAATTCTTTTAACAAATTAGCAACAAAAATTTGGGGCCCAAATGTGGTCATAAGTCATAGACTATCTACATCTTCATTGGAATATGGACCTAATTCATAAAATAATCTCAATACTTCCAAAGCAGAAACAAATGTCCTTTTCCCACCATAAATAAGCAGTTCTAATCTGTATCAATTTTGTAATTACTGCTTGTATGTTATTCTTGTGAAATTCAGTAAGTTTTGTTTTCAATATTTTGGAATAAATGCTAATGGGGAAATAGATGAGGCTTCTTCTCTACACAGCGTTGACACTGGTGAAATATTTTAATGGACCACATGAAATTTTAATGGACCATATGAAATAATGAAAACCATATATGCTGCCTTAGCTAAAACCTCAGGTTTCCTTATGGCTGTGATTTTGGAAGGCCTGCAGTTTCTTCATAAGAACACAGTTACACCTTGGAAATGCCATTTGAACTCTACACAACAAGATAGTCATAAGGATACTTCCATATGGATTTGCCATTTCATTAAACTATTGTCAGAGCTTATGGAGTGCAGAGTTCATTTCAACATCTGGTTTAATGTATTTTATCCCACACTATGCTTTTGGAAAATATGCAGTGGTCAAGACATCTGGTAAAGTTCTAAAGAGGCATACTGCACAGAGAATAAAATATGACTTTCTATCCCTGCTTGTTTGTACAAGAGCTAAGAATAAATAATTGTGATCTTTTCCATTTAAGCGGCATTGTTTTCAGGGAAACTAAATAATATAAGAGTTGAAATGTCCATACTTTATCAAATACTGAATTAGATTTTATATATGTCACCCTAGAAGCAAGATTTAAGTAAACTATTAACACCGAAAATTCTTTAGGTTGTTTGAGCAAGACTGCGTTTTGTGTTTTGTACATGATCAACATGTCTGAATAGTTTCCAATATTTTTTGGATGTTACTTCAGTGTTCCAGAGAAGTCTCAGAACATCAGCACACAGTAAACTTCCTGGTCATAAGTAATAAACTGTCAGATTATTTGTTTCAAAATGTGATTTAGGGAGCCTTATATCCATATATCTCACTAACAGAAAAAAAGAGTATACTTTATTGTCTGTTTCTACAGTAAAACCAAGCCTGGTTTTCTATTATGAATGACTGTTTTACCAGCTATATGAATCCTTTTATTTGAATTCAGTTGCATATATGAAACAATATTATCTGGAGGTTCCAAAATATTCTGAGGTATAGACTTCAAAGAGTATTTGTAAACTGCCATGTCAGATTGAATCCAATCCTAACGCCTCTCAATGCCTTTTTAAAGTTCAAGTAATAAGGCTTGCTTAATGAAATGTCAGATCTCCACACAATAGGACAGGCCAATCCTGAATAGATGAATCAATATCGTAAAAAAAGAACTACAGCAGAGGAGAGAAATCTCATTTAAGCACTGAAAATTCAACCCAACAGGGCTCTGCATTGCATGAGTTACAGGGACAAGTCTATCCGTTTTCCTTTCTTGCAGTGTGGTATAACTATAGCAGGTAGTAGAGTTTGGCAGTTAACACTACTTGAACAAAGCAGTTTCTTACATGACCATGAGAATGATCTTCTGAAGGCAAATAGGGAAATGAATGAAACAAACATCCATCAAACAGAAACTTCCTGTTCAAAGGCTACCATGACTGACAGAGAATGAACTGTTCCTTAGTCTTCCTTAGTCTGTTACTATCATAATTCTGCAATATTAAAAACAAGAATTTCCTTTATCAGTTTATAAGCGATGTTTAAGCAGTGAGACTGTTTGTTTGTTTTTCCACCACAGAAATAGGAATATTTGGCTAAACTTTGAGGTGTACCTTTGGAGTGCTTCCCTGAAGGCCTCTTAGGCAATGACTCCTCAATGGAATGTGCTGATGTGTGGAGTGCATTCTCTAAACTGTTACCCACCACGTGGTTTATGGGGGTCTCAGATCTCGGAGTGACCTAGGCAAGAGAAAAAGAAACAAACCCGTCAATTTGGCTTAACTCGAGTTAAAAATATCCGTAAAGTCCAGTTATTTCCAAAACAACATTCTTAACTTCAGCCCCCCAAATCTCATTATAGAACTTGAATGCTCGTATTTCTGCTATACCTATGTTAATTTGCTTTCTATTAAAAATAATTCTCAAAGCAAAAGAATCTGCTGTGTGTCTCAGACAATGCTCCCGAGGTAATGTCCCATTTCATTTTGTTTGAAAAGGCTTAAATCTTGCCCTAGTCTCACAGACTTCACTTATCAAGTAATTCCGGTGACGGATTTGTAGCAAATACATGGACCACAAAGCACCAAGTACTTCCAAGTGCTTCACTTAAGATACCAACTATTGTTCTACTTAGCTATCTAAGAAGGGCTTCTGCTGAGCCAATAGCTCAGATACATTGTGTGAATTTTCTCAGCAGGAAATGCAACAAAAGTGTTTTTTATAGGACACATTTCTTTAACTTAATATACTCCAAACACTTTTTACTTCCTGTAGATGGGTTTTTTTAAAAAAGCAGACCACTGGCAAAAAAGGGTTCCCTACACGCCACTTACTCTGTAACACAGCCAGTTCGCCCAAAGTAGGATCCTAGGTGACCTAATCTATGTTTGAAAATTGGCCCCAGGTTGCTGTTCACCATTTAAGCCTTCTTGCCAACTCCTCCTGGCCAAAATCAAATGCCTTCCATACAGTATAAAGCACATCGTTTCTCCCCATTCCCCAGCACATGCACAGAGCTGCATCTGGCCATTCACTATTTCTACACTATAATACCCAGGGCAAACTGTTTGTTTCCAATACATACATGACCCTATTGCCACTAAACAGGTTTTTTTTTTTAAAAAAAAAAAAACACCATCTAAGCTTTTATCTTTCTACAAAATATACTTGCAATGGAAAGTGAAAACAAGCTTTATTTTAAATGATGTACGTGTCCATCAACCATGCAGAAATTGAAATTTATAATCTGGTAAATAGTAGGAACTTCAAAGGTTTTTTTAACATTAAATAAAATAAGGAGAGTATGAGATTTGCTGTTAACGTAATTTATGCTACAAGATTATTTGCTGTAAGGATTGTTATGCTAGGCACAAAAACGTATCATGTCCAGGATTATTCAGAATAATGCACCCTGCAATCATTTAATTTCAACTCCATATAGTACACTAATGCCTGTATGCGGAATAGTAAATAAACCTTAGAGTTACACACTGGTTTTACAACTAAACAAATCAGTTACAAATTTGGTAACTTTTAAGATGTGTGGATTTCAACATTGTATCAGCTAGCCATGATATAACACTACCAAACCTAGGAAGCTAGAGAGAGAAAAAGAGAGAAACCTACAAAGGATTAGTGAGGAAAAACACTTATCAATGTATCAACTCAGCCTGCTTTTGCCAAATATCCCAAACTTGATTTGATTCACCCTTTTTACTTTTGAGAGTTGCAAGTTTCAGATTTGTTAATGTGATAGCATTACCAAATTAAGCCTGTTCTGCATGCAACCTTTTCTTTGAATTATCCTATTTTTTCTCAAGTCCTAACATGCATTTTTCTTTTTATTAACATTGCAAACTTTTAATTGTCAAAGTTATCAGGAAAGATATTTTCACAAACTGTTAAATTCAGCTCTTGACAATGAGTATATGGACAAACTTTAAAATTAGTTCGTAAAAAAACACTAAACAGGTAGGTGATCTCTTTCTGTGTGTCTTTAATAAAGTTAACACAACTTGGAAAATCAATGTCGAAAGATACTCCTTTGGTCTTTTTAGCTGCCAGTCGTCTTTTTAGTTTATTATGATTCAGGAGGACTCTCCTAAAGATCTTTAAAACCAGAAATGAACACTAATATTAAAAACATTGTAGCACAAAGTCCCATTGAACACATTTGTTCAGTCAGAAGTTAATTGGTATGTGAACACATCAGATATTGTTTTACACAATACCTACAGGGTACTCTTTGTTCAAAAATATTACACAACACTTCGGGATTCCCTTTAAAACCCACGTTCATCTCAGTATATTTCCTGGCTACCGATGCAAGCCCCAGCTCTTATTCAAAATGCTTGAATTTGGCAAAGCATGAGGTATAAATTAGACTTACTTTTTTAATCCCCATATATAAGATTGTTATAGAAACACATGAAGCTAAATGCAGATGCTTACAAATAATAGCATTAAACAAGTATTCAATCAAGTCATATCTAACAGCATTTGAGGCGTTGTTGGATGATTCAGTTGCTTATGTAAATTGATACTTAATTCTGTGTTTTTGTTTGAGAAATGAAAAATGCCTAGGGTATTAAGTTTTGACAGTTTAAGCACTGGGGTTTATTCTTTAGAACACAAAATGGTAACAAAAATGTCCTCACACTGGGTTCAGTTTGAGGAAATACGTGACATAGAATGTATTAACAATACCACAGATCATACTAGATCAGTGCTCCCCAATTTAATCACGATCTAGTTGCAATGTTCTTTATTCCAACACTGGAGGTTTTTAAGAAGAGATTGGACATCCATTTGTCTGAAATGGTATAGGGTTTCCTGCCTAAGCAGGGGGGTGGACTAGATCAGGGGTCTCCAACCTTGGCTACTTTAAACCTGGAGGACTTCAACTCCCAGAATTCCCCAGCCAGCAAACCCTTCAGGCTTAAAGTAGCCAAGGTTGGAGACCCTTGGACTAGATGACTCCAAGGTCTGTTCCAACTCGCTCAGACCACAACAAGAGCAACGCTTGCCTCAGGCTACTTCTGAGGAATTAAACAACTGTATGGGTTCCTTCCTTCTTGAATTACATCTCTGCATCAGCAAATGTAAAGGCATTCATCTCTGCTTACTGAGCCCAATTATTTTGAAACACCAAATGCTAATATGTGAGAGCCAAAAACATATAAAATTTAAAAAAAAGTATTGAAAGTTTTACATTAAGGACATCATTTAATATACACACACTACTGAAGAATAACTAAGGAAATTAACTTTAGCAGGTCCACGTTGCAACGAATTACAAGTTGTGAAATAGTTTTAAACTATTCTCACTGATGATGGCCAAAACATTTGTCCAGTCTCAATTCCTGGTTACTGTTTCACAAGACCAGGCTGCTTTTTATAAAATAAGCAAAAGCCTCTCCCCCATCTTTCTTGGGGGGGGGGGGAGTCCTAAATCAGCTCCTGGGGCCAACATTTACATTGGAATCCCTGGCCCGACAGGCTGGAAAGATACACAGCTTAGTGACACCTGTATTCCAAAGATTGGAGGTGCAACTCTTGACCGAAAGATGCCCCTTTCTAAAGGGAAGGGACGTGGGGAGAGGCACAGTGGTGGCAAAGAGACAACTGTAGACACAAAAGAGGGCACAGTGTGGAACCCAGGATACACTGGCGATCTTTCCTTTCCATCCCCTCCAAACCATGGTTTGCCTTCTTTCCATCCCCTCCAGCCACCATAAACCACCTTCTCTCCATCATCTCCAGCTACTGTAAACCATGGTTCATCTTCTCTCCATCTCCACCGGCCATAGCAAAGCATAGTCTGCTTCCTCTCCATCGCCTCCAGCTTCCATAAACCAGCCTGCTTCCCCTTCCAGTCACCACGGTCTGCTCCCCTTCCATCCCCCTCCAGGCACCGGAACCCAGGGTTCTTCTCCTCTCCATCCCCCTTTACCGCGGCCTAATCCCCAAACTCCGGGACCGGGACCCACCTTGTGGCACCCAGGGCAGGTGGCGGCCGCTGCGGCCGTGCCCGGGGCGGCGTTGGCGGCGGGGGGTCCCTTGGCGGTGCAGGCCAGCAGGCTCTGGATCTTGGTCAGCTCCTGCCGCAGCACCTGCTTCTGGTGGAAGCTGAAGGCCGGGTGGTTGGAGGCCATGGTGAAGAGCAGCAGGAACTCATCGCCGGTGCGGCCCTCGTTGAGCTGCAGCCCGTAGTTGTGGATGACCGAGTCGAGGTGCGTGAGGGTGCGGAAGAGCACGCCGGCCGCCTCGCGGTGCGACGAGCCCAGCAGCGCCAGCGAGACCAGCAGCTTGCTGCGCACCACCTCGTCCGTCAGGTTGGTCAGGCCGCCCAGGTCGGCCGCGTTGTTGGCCTTGATCTCGGAGTCGCGCAGCGAGTGGTAGTCCTTGCGGGCCAGGTCCTCCAGGCAGGCGCCCAGGAAGCGCAGCTCCAGCGGGATGCAGAGGTCCAGCAGGCCGCAGAGGAACTCCACCCGCTGCGGGGAAGGCAGCTCCGAGAACCAGCGGTAGACGCTCTCGCGTTGCAGCCGCGGGCAGCGCTTCTCCACCATGCTGGCCCGACGCCGCCGCGGCCCTCACCGCCCGCCCACCCACCGAGCGAGGGAGACCGGCCGGCCGGGGCGCAGGGGGAGCGGGAGGAGGGCAGCGCCACGGGGTTGCCCGGGAGGGCCCGGCGGGCGGGGCCTCGCAGCCCCCTCAGGGAGGCAGGGAGCGGGGGGGGGGCGGCTGGGCCGAAGCCTTCTCGGGCCTCCCTGGCGCGCTTCGCGGCTCTCCTCAGGGGGCGGCTCCTCCTTGCCGCCGCCGCCGCCTCGGCCCGGCTCCCTCCATCCCTTGCCCGCCGAGGGGGAAGAAGGCGAGGAGGCGGCCGAAGAAGCAGCAGCTCGCCCTCGCAGCGCCCACCCTCACGCCCCGCTCTCCGCCGCCGCCGCCGCCGCCGCCCGCCCGCCCGGCGCGCGACAAATAATCCCGCGACAGGAGGCGACGCTGCCGGGCGGTGCTTTTCCCCCGCCGCCGTTATACGTGGGAGGGATTCCGCGGGCGGAGGGATCCCGATCCGGCGGAGAAGGTGAAGAGGCCCGGCCGGCCAGAGAGAGGAGCGGGAGGCCGGATCTTGTTCGCCTCGCCCACGCCCCCCCTCCCTCTCGGGCGCGTCACGATTGGGCAGCCTTCTCCTCCGAGTCCCGCCCCTTCATGCTGGCCTCCCTCTCACCACCCTCCTTAACGGGACTCTGCCGGACGGCCGCCGCTGTCATTCACGGCTCTTAACCCCTCCCCCCGCTCTCCTCACGCGATTGGCTCCGGCGAGGCCAAAGAGGTGTGTCCGGGAGAGGGCTGCTCCTGCGCGTGTTTCGGGCGCGTGCTGACTTGCGCTGTCTGACAGGAGGGGAGGGGGAGCGGGAGCTCACCGGTCAATCGCCGACGGGTGGGGCGGGGCTTGGGTAACCTAGCAACGGGGAGAGGAACGGCTCCGGAGAGTGAAGAAGGATGGGAAGGAGGGGGGGGGATAAAAGCTGGGGTTGCCTAGCAACCGGGTCATCAGCATGGAGGGACCTGTGAAGCGGCCTGAGGGCGGGAGAAGACCCCCCTTCATCACCCAGCGACCCTCTGGGTCCAGACAGGCCTACCTCGCAGGGTCGTTGTGAAGCCGTAAACAGAATGTTACATTGTATCCAAGATAGTTACAGTGTGTCAACCATGTGGAGAGAAGACAGGAGGAATAATAGAAATTAATCTGCCAATAAAAATAAATAAACCTGTAAACAGCCCGAGAGTGGAAGGGCCTTCATCGCCTTGAAGACCCCTCCTCTCCTTTAGCCAGCAATCCAGATGGACCTACCTGGCAGGGCTGTTGTGATGCTAGAAAAAAAAGGGTTACATCTATCCCAGGAAATGTATTTTATAGAACAGAATTCTTTATTGGCCAAGTGTGGTTGGACACACAAGGAATTTGTCTTGGTACAAATACTCTCAATATACATTAAAAAGAAAAGATACATTGGTCAAGAGTCAAGAATCATAAGGTACAACACTTAATATTTGACCATATGAAGGATGAAGGATGGAAGCAATCTATAAATACAAATCAATGGAAGCCACAAATGCTTCCCAGGCCCCCAAGAAAGCCAAAGGGTACCACAGTGACCGACCACCAAGGAGAAAGTCCCCAATGTTTTTTGAACTTGGCATCCTGCAAAGAAGAGGCAGTTGTGGGGTGGGGGCAGCCACCAAGCCCTGAAGCCCCCCCCCCTTTTCTTTTGAGGAGGGGCTGCTCCGAATTGGAGCATTCTGCACTTCTTCCCTGGAGAAATCCACCTGGCAACCAACATCTGGAAGGCCTGCTACGATCCAGCGGTTTGTGCAAACCAACATTCGGACTGAGCGGCAATCTTAACCTAAATGGAGGATTCAGCTATCCTGTGCGAGCCGAGACTTCATATTCAAGGTATTCACCCATTTTTGATTCCTTGCTTTCCTTTTAAAATAATACTTTCCTTTTCTCTATAATTACCCAAATAGGAGAGAGCAGGGTTTCTCAACCTTGGCAAATTTAAGATGTGGGGACTTCAACTCCCAGAATTCCCTAGCCAGCTTGACTGGGAGATGAAATCCACACACCTTAAATTTGCCAAGGTTGAGAAACACGGATTAAGAATCGAGATCTAACCTTTATTTTAGCTGAATAATTTTCCCTGTGCTTAGGCATGTGGCTTGATCCTGCTACATTTTGCAACTGTTTTCTTCTATAAACCAAGAAGACGGGCCCGTTTCTTTTAAACAGTAACGTGGAATCTCCCATTCTCAGGAACGCTTGTCTTTTCAGATAATCCCATCAGCCTGGTGACTGTATAGGGGCAAATATGCTTTAAATCCGTTAACACAGATTGGTACCAAATTCACACTGTCCACTAAATCTCCATGTGGTGAATAAACTGCTATTGAGGGTTTGTTCCACAAACGGCCTTTAAAAAGAACCAAAGTCGATTCAGTAGGTGGATTAAAACAAAGAACGCTATTGCTTCCATGTGCTTTGCATTTTTGGGCTTTTATAGGAAAAATAGTAATAAAAATTGATTAGAGCTGATTGGTAATCTGCGAGTTGCAATTCCAGATCAGATGTTGGCTGGGGATGTCTGCTTGCCATCTTCCTTTGAGTACTGTGGAAAACAGGATAATAAGAATAAGAGAGGCTTAGTTTAGTCTTGGCCAGACACTTGTATTTTATTATTTGAGATGCCATTAATATAATAAACAAGGTTGTGGCGCTATCTAAATCTATATACACGTATGGTGAGTGTCCTCTAGTGGCTATTTCGGTGATAACATTATGCTACAGTACAAATCTTCCTTTCCTTGTCCATGAATAGGGTGATAGGAAAAATATATATTTACATGCTTGGAAGAAAAAGCTAGAGAAGCAAATGAGGCTTAAACAAACAATAATAATAATGTCAGATACAGCAAAAGACCTAATATCCATTAAAATCAACATGCATGAACGTGGCTGAGATTGAGATGCAGCCTTTAAAAAAATACGATGAATGAAACCGTCATACATCTGCAAACGGTTTTCTGACTCGGTTGTACAAATCTTCATTTAAAACTCTGCTATTTCAGGTTGGCAACCTGTGATTACTGGGTAAAAATAATGAGACATTGCTGATTACTTAGGTGTGAATTAAGTATCTGAACATTTCAGTTATAAAAACCTGGAACCTTGCCTTCTGAAAATAACCGAGCACAATTCCCAATGATAAACGGAGGCTGCAAAGTAAGTGGGTTTCGTGGAGGGTAAATCCCAGGGAGAAAGACTGTGATTGCATAGCATGACTTTGTTTGAAGAATCTGTTTCCTTTTGGTTAGTGGAACAAATATGAGCTGTATCTAGGACTCTTAAAAACAACTTTGATGCTTGTATTTTGTTTTTTCATGATGCAATGAAATGGTGTTGTTCTACCCTGAAGTGTTTTAGTGCTATGGAGGTTGTTTTTTAAAAAACTATTTCCCAAACCTGGTGCTGGAAATTAAAGAATCAATATTTGTTTTATGTATAATACATATATTCTAATCAGATGATGCGCCGCACAAACTCACAATTTTGTTTTGATTGCAACGGACTTGAATAGATACTCAGATGTTGCAGCTTGTTATGGTTTCAAAAAGAAACCATAACCAGCCTTTCAAAAAGATCCACTGATAAACGTGACAGCTCCAAGTTGGGATTTAGCCCCCATCACTTGTCAGGAGCTGGAAGGCTTCAGATTTCAGCCAGATTTTGTGTATGGGTGAAAACTTCATTTACTATAGGTGAGCACTATAAGTAAGGTCACCATCTTGTCAAATACCAGGGCATGTCTCAGCAAGCCACCAAATGGAAGAAGGAACACTCAGTCTGGTTGTTCCCACCCTTATGTCCAGCAATGCCACATTCCCTTCTTTGTTTCCCCCATGTGTCTTTTTTGGGGGTGGGGGCACATTGCTAATAGCACCAATAGACCAAGAAGGTATTTATAACTCTGGGACTAACACAATGGGTTGCTGCCAGGGAAATGGGGATGCTAAAACTATGCCAACAATTGGTTCAGGGAGATTGAAAGCATCAGGTCATCTTCCCCCTAGGAGAGTCCTGAGTTCAAGAGGCTGGGTTTCCTCCCCCACAAGGACCTCTGCTAACTGTAACTAGCAGTAGCAATAAATGCCTTCCTAGGATTTGCGTGTATTCTCAGGAGCATTCTTGGCCGGTGCTCAGGAGCCAACAAGGCAGCTGTTGCAGCCCTTCTAAAGAGAGTGTGCTGGCTTGCTTCCCTGCGCTCTGCGCATCACATGAGTCGTCTTTCTCTGGTATCGCTGGAATATCGAGAGGAGGGAGCCAGTTGGAAGCGTTTCTAAGGGCTTCCTGGCCAGCTTGGTCCCCTTTTCCAACCAGGTTCTGCTTTTCCCCTGCAAACCAAACAAATCACACCCAAACTGTGGCCTAGAGCAGGGGTGAGAACAAGCAAGGCAGTAACCCCAGCATGTGGGACTGAGCATATGTTTTCATGATGAGGGCACCAGGGTAGAAACCAGGAGATGGTAAGTTCTAGTTCCTTCTTAGGCATGAAAACTGGCTGCGTGACTTTGGGTCAATCAATAGGAGACATTGAATTCTAGTTCCACCTTGGGCATGAAAGCCAGCTGGGTGCCTTTGGGTCAGTCATTCATTCTCTCAGCCCACCCACCTCACAGTGTTGTGGTTGTGGAAAAAATAGGAAGAGAAAGGAGTATTAGATATGTTCACTGCCTAAAAGCAGGCATAAGATAATCTTTAAAAAGCAAAGCAGAGCTCTGTGTGTGTATGAGAGATTCCTGGGACTATGGACTGTTGATGTTTATTTCACTATGCTAACTGTACATTAGGACTTTCAGGAGCACTTTATGTCCACTGCTCTATAGAGCCAGTAGTTTAAAACAAACCCTTTTCCATCCATGATCTTAAACCTAGACATCTGTACGTTGGCGCTGACTTGCAGACTGATATTTATTTGCTCAAAGGTGCCTGTTCTGTTTGGTCAATTGTAGTGT